GTGTATAATTGCATTTAATTTTTTTTTACTACATTTATTTTCAGATTTCTTTTCTCTTTTTCATTTTTTTTATTTGACCAGCTCACTTTCAAATCTAACTGAAAAGGCCAATTATATATACAGAGAATTTCCACGTCTAGTAAAATCCAATCTTGTTGTCTAAAAAATCGTCAATGATGTAATTCCAAAATTAAAATATAAAGCATGTATTATTTCACCTTTTTTTTAGAGTTGTGTATAATTGACAAAATTATGGGATGATTTTTTTTTTATTTTTTAATTCACACACAAGAGGTTTCCTTTTATTAAAATGAACATATCCAACATACAAGATGAGAATCTTCAATTATTTGCAATACACATAGCTGAAGAGCAATAATCTATGTACTCCTCTGTTCTTAATATAAGACCCATTTAACTAATTTGATTAGATTAAGAAAGTTAGGTAAGTTAGTTAATTATAAAAAATGTGATACGTTTTTCCTAAAATATCATAATTATCTTTTTTAATATCTCTCTCCCTCTTCTACTTGATTATGGTTGAGGGAGTATCTATAGGGGTAATTTAGAAAAAATTGATAAATATAAAAAATGAGTCTTATATTTAGAATCAAAACCAACTCAATAATTAGGTCCTATATTAAGGACCGAAAGAGTATAATGGCCTACTATTTACCTTATACATGAGCCTTTTTGGTGGTTAAAGGGAGCACACATTGGCCCACAAAAAAGAGTGCTCCAGCACAAAGGGCAGGGAAGTTGTGGGTAAGATATGCGGTGAAGGCGCATCCACTTTGAGGAATGGGGGTCCTTTAATTTGGGTCCCACCACTCGAAAGGATTACTATAATTGAGCGTGGGACCCACCGGAAGTTCTCAGTGTTTCTCCGTCGCAATCAGCGACATAATGGAAGCTGGCGGGGCCCAGTCAGGAGGTTGCCGTTCGGGATGGGGAGATACGCAAGCCACGTTGGTGCGGCCGTATGACACAATAAGGACAAGCATACACACAATCATCACCACGTGGCTTGGCACTCGCAGCCTAGCAATGCGGAATATATTTAAATGGACATTATGATATTATTGCCGGAAAACATATAGTAAAATATACTATTGACAGATCATCATTGCTATAATACTATTTACAGCGCATTAAAAATCAAACTAGGCTTATTGGGTCAATAATTTTGTAGTCTTTTTTTGTCAACAAAAATAATCCTAATTCTGATAAACTTATCTATGAATAAATGAGAGATCGTAAATTTGACCTGCCCATAATATTAGGTCGGTAATATGTTTTCTTTTCCCCTCAACTTATTTTCCTAAATTTTATCGGTCCAAGTCCAACTGAGAACAACTCTCCTAAAATTGCATTTATATGAGTTCACACTTGGAACCTTAACCACTAGTTAATAGTTAATTGGTTCTAGGCTCCATCTGAAATCAAAGGGAATTGGTTTATGAACTGTTGAACTGGTAAAACAGTCAATTCTTTGAATTTTTGCATTATTTTTGTCGGCCAGGCGCAAATTCATTTAGTTGAACTACATAATTTTATTTTTGTATTTTATATTAGTTATTTTTAAACCTTTACATATTGTAATCTTTTTAAGTCGCGTGATTTGATTTAATTAATAGGTGATTAACACGAATGGATACTCATTATTGATGATGCAAGGCTTGTCTAATTAAGGCTAAGAGCATATTATTTCTGATTCTATTTATAAGGTGGAGAAAGAAGGTTTTTCTTAATCCTATTTGTAAGTCACTTCATTAAATTTTTAAGATAAATGAATTGTTTTGTCCTTCATTTATTATAGCATTGATAATTATTTTTTTTGAAATGAGTATAATTAAATAGGAATAAAATTTAAATGAATATATTTTAATAAATAATTAATACAGTTTAAGATTTTTTTTAGTCCCTATAAAATATACTGGAATTGTCTTATGTACAGTATCAGAGGAATATTTATTAACGACGGCTTTAGATTTGTGTGTGGGAACACAAAACACTATCAAAGGGTTTGGTGATTGGGGCTTTTGCAAGCAACACAGCAAATCCGACAAGACATGTAATGTAATGTACCTCAGCAATTGAAAAGAGAGTTACATTGGAAGGCAGGTCCGACTGGTCACAAACGGGAAGGCAAGGCGTCACATCCCTATCATGTCATAGGCTCGAATCCTGGGAAGTCCTCTTCTGGGGGGCGTTCCGGATTAGTCTGCACCCAATATGGTGTGGGATACCGGAGGAGATAGTGATACCATCCTATTAAAAAAAAAAAAAGAGAGTTACATTAAAGTATATAAGATAAGATTAGATATTAAAGTAATGTATTTAATAACAAATTTTCAATTATGTTGTTGTATAAGATTAATTTACAAGGGATGAAAACCATTTGTATGATGTTGACTCGTAATTGAAATGAAAAATAATTAAAATAATTGATTTGCCGTTCATGCTGCTGCTATGACTACGACAACCTCAAAAGAATCAATAACAATGAGTAGTTGAGAAAATTATTAAATAAATATAAATGTTTTTAATAGCCTAAAAAGTAGTTTGAATAGTCAAGCATGCGATGAGATAGATGCTGAAAGCAATATTAGTAGGGCAATGATGCAGCGAGGTTGGGTTCTTAAATCTCGAGAAGATTTTAGCAAGAAAATCACTCCTTTAGGAAATTTAGTGATAATGTATTCCATTGCATTGAGATCTATGCTGAGCTGATAGTTTGGACTGGTGATTAGGCACTTAGCCTGTTTTGCTGCTGATACATGAACTGAAAATTAAGCAACGCAACTTGAGTTTAACCCAGTCAAACTGGTAAGCTGGATGAGGCCGCAACAAGAAGTCTTATCTTATAAAAGACCCGTTTGAAATAATTTATAAGTAGTTTTTTAATAGTGATTTATAGAATACGAGATAAATATATAAGAAGAGCTTTACTTTAGCTTACGTGAAATGTATTTGTGGGAGATTTCTTAAGCCCTCCCAAACAGGCCCAAAATAGGATCAATTACATAAGTCATACAAGTTGGACGGGTCGATTTGATTATGGAAACCCATGAAGTGTTTGAGTAGAAACCAAACCATAATTTTAAAAGTATTTTTACAGTTTACGAAATAAATATGTAGATGAGTTTGTCTCGTTTTATAGAAAAGTATTTTTTAAAAGCAATTTTAAAAGTTGCTAAATACTCTTTTGATTTGATCATGTTGATGATCAAAAGGATAAATATTTGTCACTGCTTTGAAATCAGTGGAAACTGGCAGAAAGTGTTGATTTTGTATGCAGATTCTTGAATGAAAGATGACGTTATAAATTCAATCATTTGGGCTCTAAATAGAAATCCATTTAAGGCCGTTTGAAATCATGGTCTTGAGTACTTATAAGCATATTTTATTTATATCAAGATAAAATTTTTCTCACATACTCATCTTATATTTTATAAATTATTATTGAAAAGATATTTATAAAATATTTCACACAAACTCTTAATTTGATCCTATTCATAGTCAAAATAACAAACATTTGTTAGTTTCTCTCGGAATTCCGAGAAGACTCATAAAAAAGTTATTAAACTTGAAACGAGTTAAAAAAAAAAAAAATTAACAGTTCACCAAATTTATGCTTTGACAATTCTGTTTTATTAAAATTATATGATTTATGTATGAATATTCCATTCACTTATGGATTTGAATATTATATTTTATATATTTTAATTTTTTTATAAGCATTTTATCTATTTTAATTAATCATGAATAATTTGATTCTAATTTGAGTCTAGTTAAGCCCCTAACTCATGAACCAATGCCTCACTATCTTTGTGTATATGCACTTACAGACGAATTTTGAAATGATGGAACAATGAAGAGCGAGACCAATCAGTAGGGAAAAAGAGTGAGAACTGAAAAGCAAACAATAATAGAGGCGATAATGAAAGAGAATACCAGGTGATGGACCCAATTCTGATAATGGGCCTCGTCTTATTTAAAAACAGAATTGAAAAGAGCACACATGGGATTGGCGTTTTGAGTTTTGGTTTTCTCGTTTTGTGCAGCAGAAATCTTCCGTATGGAAAGAAATTAATATTGATATGACATGATTTGAGAAAGCAAGTAATACAACCGACCATTACACTGTCTTCCGTTCGTAACATAAGAGCTAATTAAAAATTAGATTTTATTTTAAATATAAAATTCTAATCTATTTTGTTTCCTACTTTATTCCAAGATATCTTTATTGACTGTAAAAAATTTTCATTAAGAAATAATTTCAATAATCTAATGTATATAATTGAAGATAACAGTTTAAAAAAAACCAATACATAATTGTGAAAAATAACCAATTTAACTAATTTTTTTAATATCTTCAAATTATTTATCTAACTCTTATATTAAAAACTGAAAATAATATATCAATAGTTGCAATTACAATTTGCATGCAAGATATATTCAAATTCCAATGCAAATCTCCTAAGAATTAACGAAGAAGAAAGAATACACACATAAGTATAAAAACTTATGCAAGTTTTCCAAACATACTACTATCTTTGGTTCTAACTATAAGATCTCGTTTGTAGTCTACAAATGAGATCTTATAATTAGTACCAGAGATAATATAAGACAATAATTCCACCTCAAAAACCATCGCCTTCAATTCTAAATATAACATCTAGTTATTTAAGACAAGAGATCGTAATAAAATCATGCTTAGATGAAAATATGCTTTAACTAAGATTTCAATAATTCCTAAGATGAAAGATTTTAGTAATTTCTAACACGAAGGTTTTTCTTTTTGATCATCATTCACCTTATAGCATAAATTGACGCACTCATCGTACCCTTAAAAGATCGATTTTGTTTTTTTTTTGGGGCTGATTAAAAGATCGAATTTTCAGCCTTAAGCTCAAGAAAAAATTGAGGTATAGTATCAATGTACCAGAATACCCGGGCATGAAACCAAACATGCAAGGGTTGCATCATGAAGAACTTTGATTTTTATTGAATCTACCAAGCTTGGGTTCCAAAAGCTTTACAAGCCTATGCTGGACCAAGGCTTACATGGTCCCCCAAAAAAATGGAATGATAGTGAACGAAAAATTGCATTTGCTTACATTTCTCACGAATTCCTCTTCTCTCACCTCTCTGACCTACAAACACCTTGCCTTTGATTTGGCATCAACATCATCAAGTAGGAGGGAAAAACCTGTTGAGATTGAATGGCAGAGTGTAGAACTCCTCGTTTCTGTTGTCTCCCCTGAATGTTCTGAACTTCACCCACCACGGCATCCCTCGGTCTTTCTTTGACCTTTCCACCTCCATCGTGTTGTCAAGGAACACCGCCACGATCAAACCCACTGTCGCCGGTGAAGCGAATATGGTATTCAAGAATGCATTAAACTGCATACAAAATCAACAAGAATGAATCCAGGTACAGCATTTGTGTTTAAGATATGCTGGACTAACCAAAGCTTCTCCATGTATTACACGGTGAGCTTCCCGTTTTTCTTTTTTTGGCCAAAACATGGTAAGCTTCATGACTTGTGAATAATACAACTTATATTCTATATTGATTATTTATCAAATTCTCGTTTTCATGATATGATATTATAACAAGACCAGAGGGCTATTTACTGCAAGTCCAAGTTCCTTCATAGAAGCACATGGGAAAATAAATAGTCTTGCATATAAGCCACTTCTTTGGAAGTCTCGGGGACCAAAATACAAGTTGCCATTTGCACAAATAACCCTATGTAAAATTTGGGAATCAAAATGAGAGAAAAAGAATAAACAATTAAAAGATAGTAACTCATTCATTATCAAGGGCAAACTTGGAAAGAATTCAATTTGGAGGACATTTAATGATAAGAACTAACTTTTAACTTTTTTAGCCGTGTGAGCTAGAGTATTGTGACTTTAAGAGGTAGTATAACTTTACATGATTACTTCTTTTAACAAAGTTTCTTCATAATTGATAATGTTTTTATTGGAGAATCTAGTAGCAAATAGCTGAGTAATTTTACTTTGTCATGTGCTCATGTTAGAGTCAGAAAAGGCCACACATTTCAAGGATGAAATCAAACATGGTGATGGAAGTAGTAGTAAAAGCTCAAAAGTTCGGTTTCCTTTTCAGGAACAAATGCAAATAAATAACACGATCAATCGGGCATACGCCTTCTAACTCGTCAAGACTTCCAGAAAGGGGAAAACAACTCACCCAACCAGCATTTGTATTCACAAGGCCTCCACGTTTAGTCCAATACTCAGAGAAAAATTGAGGAATGGATATTCCAAGGAATAATGTGAGCCCAGTGATGATAAGGTTTCTCATCGAATTCATGTTTGTGAACTGAAGAAATGATAACCCCACTGAAGCTGAACAAACAAGAAAAGTTCTTGTGAAAAATAGGAAAATAATCAAGTATAAAGATCAAATCTAGCCCGGCCTGATACATACCAACAAGGCCAAAGAGAATGCAGTACAGTGCAGCGAATATGGGGATGGGTATAGATGCAAACACAGCTCCAAACTTTCCTGCAGAAAACAGAGGGGGAAAAAAAAAAAAAAACCACAGAGCCTCATGTGAGGGAAACTACTCATATTTCCTTATCGCTGATAGTGATAATAAAAAGAGCTAAACAATGTTGGCTAATGAGGCTTGCAATCCTCATGGAATTAATTAAGAAGTGACTTCCCTTGTAGAAGTTCAGACTAATGTTTCAGAGGTATGTACCAACCTAAGGTAGAGAAGAATATCATAAAACCAGCAGAAATCTGAACAACTCTGCGACTTCCAACTCGGGTTAGCCCGAGGAGTCCCACATTTTCCCTACAAAACAAACAGCCATAAAAATGACATCAAGTTAATGTTGAGACATTTAAAGAACATAGACAAGCAGCAGCAGCTTGCACGAAACCCATGGAAGGATGAGACTTACACAGAAACTGTAGAACCAGTCCCTGTTCCATAAAGACCATCGAGCAAGATGCCAATCCCCTGTACAAATAGAAAAGATCAGCCTTCTTATCTGCGAGCCGTTTATTTTATGCCATATGAGAAACATGTGAAATCCAAGCTAACATAACAAAATACAAATTAGCATGCACGCATGGATTTTGCAGTATTCATAAAAGTTTTAGTACAAAGGGAATAGACAGGTACAAATCTACTTGTTCATATACAAGTAAAACAAAATCAGTGAATAACACAGCAGGGCCAAAGGGAAGCTGTGCATACTGTAATGTAACTATTTGCATGTAAAACAAAAAAGAATACCACAGAAGAATGGAGACAGAAGCACTGATAAATATACTAAGAAACTGTTCCCTGTAATATCCTCAGGTTACAAGTTTACAGTCATTCTCGCAGACAAAATTGCAACAGTTTCTTCACATAATTGTGAGGAAAGTTTGAATGCTAATATACTTCTTTACTCAAAATCATCGCAGGATTTGCAAACTCTGCAAGAAACAGTGCTGCATTTTGCTATTATACACACCAGTCACTATCAAAAATCTAGGATCATGTTTAACAAGCACATCTACTTCAGGCCATATCAATAATTGACTTGTTCCAGAGTAACTTACTTGCCAACCAATGCCTCGACTTAACACATAAGCAGGAGGTGGAGTGGCAATTGCCAACCGAGAGGCTGCTTTGTAAGCTGCAGTTGACTGCAGAAAATTTTACAGTTAGGAGACACTGTTAAAAATTTCACCCAAATATGAATGAAAATTCCAAGTCTTGCTGAAATCCACACAAAACCGTTTTCCTTCATTCATTGGGGACAAGCTAAAAAATCTTTATGAATCCGAGACAAATCTTTCAAGAAGTCCATAGTTACATAAACATAGGTTCAGGTAATACAGTTCTAAATTTGACCCTCAAGCCAAATATTCCGTTAACCTTGCCAAATTAGAAATTGGGACCCTCTAAAGTTTGAAGAGAGATAAACACATGTATAAGCCCTACTTGAGTGGTGGATCAGACCTTGTATGGGTCCCAAGCGCGTTCAGTTCATCTCTTTCAAAATTAGATCCAAATTCCCACATTAGCAAGAATAACAAAATAATTTCACCAAAAAAATAAAGAATAAAAAAATAAGACAAAATTTTGAAGAATGAAAATTGATACCTCCACCATTGACACAATAACAGCAGACATTGTGGCAAATGCATGGCCAGCATTAAACGTAGGGGGGCCCCATTGAAGAGGGTATGGGAACATGAACCTATTGGAAAAGAAAGAAATCTCAAAATCCAGCAAAACTTTAAACATATGAGAGAAATAAAAATGGCGTCGTAGCGTACCATGGGGCAGTAGATATCAGATTTGCTCTATCTGTACGGCAACTACGTTGTGTGGAGTTAGGTTTATGTTTGTAAGCTCCACTGGCAGTCAGGATAACAGAGTAGATCCATATAAGTGTAACACAAATCAGCACTGGAAAGCGTTCAAAGATAGGGATATCTCGAAATGGTCTCACGTGCTTTAGATACTGCAATTTTAGCAAATTCGTTGGTGCGAAGGAATTACATAATACTTCGATGCTCTATGTTCTAGTTAAACCAAAGTACTTACTTGTGACAATCCAATTACCAACAACAGCATCGGTATGCCAATTTCTACACAGTTCCCCAGCTGAAGAGAAAATTAAAGATCAAATTGTATAACTTATTCAAGGTAATATGACAAATATTCATCAGGTATATCAAGCACAGTGAGAGAAGGATTTTAATTAAGAAAATATCATATAAACACGCAATACAAGTTGACATTGGTTAAAATCCTAGAAAGACAGAAACAAGAGGAAGCCCTAATAGTATGTCAAAACTTCAGCAAAAGAATATGAATTCACTTTAAGAATAGGTGGCAACATCAGAAGTCAGAAGGAAGATATGTTCCTTAAAATTACTTGTTTATTAGCTTATCATAATCAGAACACATTTTCTTTTAGATGGCAATATTGTAATCACAGATTTCTGTATCAGTTAAAAGATATTCTTCTAAAAAACTGTATAACAAAAATATCATGACAAATTGACACTACGCATAAAGAATTTAGCCTGAGCTTTTAACTCAAAATTGTTTTGATGGATAACATTTGAAGCAGCTCAGATCAATGCCTACCAGAGGAAATCCACGTTGAAATAGTCCTAATCCAACCAATCCAATTACAGGTGCCATGCCAAGAGGGCTAAAAAATCTGGAGAGAAGATCCATGTCACACTAAATAACCAATTAATTTATTTAGTCATTTAGATTTCACAGCCATTGTCACTTGCAACTTGTGTACCTTGAAAAAAGTCCCCAAACTTGGCTGTAACCAAGGATTATCTGAATACTTGAGGCGACAATCAGAGCTCCTTGTATAGCTCGCATTGTTTGTATAAATCTCTGCAAACCAATCACACGGGGTGATCTCTTTCAATACACTACCAGATAAGAACTTGATTTAAGTATACTTAAAGCTAAAGTTATTTTAGGGTGCATATGTCATATAATGTGAACTTAAATCAATTAAATCACCATTGGTATAATTGAGTTCCATGATCTGGGTTAGCTAGTATTAATTTGAACCATACGATTCTATATTTTCCACTTCACTGACTACCTCATACCACACGTTTAATGCTGAGATAAGTATGGGTTTCCAAGATTTCAGAGTCCCAGAAGAGGACTGAAGAATCACCATTGCATTAACATTTCCTTGATTGGTTCTCAGTAGCCAAGAAAGACAAGGTTTGGTTAATGCAATTCCAAAGGAAAATAATTAGGAAATGAAAGGAGGAAACTTACTTCATGGTTATCACTGATCTGTTGCAACGAGGAGTCACTAATTATATAAGCAATTGGAATTATATAAGCAAAAGAGCCTCCAACAACTGCAGGCAATCTTGTTCCGAACAGTGCTTGGAGAAGGGTGTTAATGCCAGCAACAAAGAGTAAAGTCTGTATCACTTGTGCTTTATCACCCTGGTTTAACAAGTAAGCAAGTCACTAACAATAGAAGTTCTGATAATCTGTCAAAAAGTTACAAGTGCTTTGCACACCTAATTGACACATGCAGCCCGTAATTTCTGGCCAAAACTTGACTCGAAAGCATCAATGACCATACAAATATAATTCAAAATGTAGAACCAACTATTGTGACTCAACAATTAGGATGACAAATACTTTATCCTGCTAAGTGGATCAGGAAAAATGACATGCAAGCTAATCATAAGCATGCAAGACAGAGGTTCATTGGAAGAAAGAATCCAAGAAGAAAGCAGAATTTTAGCTTACAGCATTTCCTCCCATAGCTGGGACAATTATTGAAGGGATCAACACACTTGTGCCAAGCATCAGTATGTAATTTTGAAATGCCAAAAGGATGGTTTCAGCTGCAACACATGGCATTCACTGTGAGCAGGAAATGAAAACGACAAAGCAAACAGAACATCTGGCAACACACTTGCTCATGCACATTCACGACACATAGCCACTCAACTGAAATGAAATTAACGTAACTCCACAGAAAAGTGAAGGCAACAGAAAATACTACATGTTTACATGCCTCTGGCAGGAAAATTTAAATTGGACTTGTTTTTAACATTCGAAATGGCACCAACTCGTTCTTATAATGACCACCTCATGACCTTCAAGTGATGCAAAAAGGAAGAAAAAGTCAGCTAACTTACATAAAACACTAGCCTTGGAAGAGGCTCTATTACACTCGGCCAATTTTCTTACACCCCTCTAATGGACCTACTAACTACATTAGATTGTTCTAGCTGCTGTTCCACGATAAAGGTGAGCTTGATGATGTCTTGGGTTCAATCCCTTTCCTTGCCCTTTAAAGTTATGGCATGAACATGGACATCCCATGTACACTACGAGATAATTACCGCATGAATATCAAACTTAACAAATTATATATAGCATTAAAATCACTTAGTCCTACGTCATTAACTATTTAAAAACAAAAAAAAAAACAAAAGAAAACTTCTAGGTGAATCGGTGCAAGAGGTTAGGGCTTTCATTAGCACATGTGAAGGACTAAAATATGAGCGATGTGACCACTTAAAATGCAATGAATCCACCAATTTTAAATATGAGTCCCAATGCAGCACATCAACTGAACACTCAAAATTTCTTGTAGAGAATGACGCCCTTGACAACAAAACAAAAGAACTCACAAAGCCCAGAATATATTTCGTCTATGAACGGTGTAATAAATAAAATAGAGGGTTAGTCATTAAATAATTTGTGGGGCCTCTTTGATTTCATTGGTGATTAATTTTTAATTACCAAGAGTAACCTCGATAGAAGGAGAAGAATGGCATTAACTAAGCCATTATTACTAGTGTCGTTACGCGATGGTTTTGACGGTTTAATAGTTAGCAGCAAAGTATAAATAGAAAATAATGGGAAGTTGAAGATGTCTTAAAAATCATGTGATAGTGCCATTCACTTTCGAATTTTAAATAAATCTTTTTAGTAGCAAACAAGGCCGAAAACAAGGGAGAAAAATACTAACGAAAAAATGCAGAGTCCCGTTTTATCTCAACGACAATAAAAATTTGAACTTTCAAACTAAATCCCACAATCCCACAGTTCTCTTGTAAACTAATCGGAAACACGGTATATGCAAAAGCTTCCAGGATTTGTTTTTTGAAGATCAAGCCAATGATAAAAGGAAGTCATTGGAGGTTGGCAAAGGGCCAAAGCACTGACATGTTCTTCGAAACCGAAAAGATTCCTGTCAAATATCTCCTGTTCTAAATGACCAAGTTCAAAAGTTAAGTGCATGATAAGCTGTCTCTAAAAGATGAGGAAGTCGCAAGTAAGAAGTTTGAAGGATGATAATGAACGAGATAAGCATCTCGAGACAAGCAGACCCATGAGCCCATGTTCACATGGCGATAATGAACACAGAACCCAAATGACAGATGTAGAAGAAGAGCCTACCCCAGGGAGGGTTTGAGTCGATGCAGTACTCAAGGTCCTGAAGCTGCTCCATGGGAAGGTGGGTAATGTCTGCCATTGTTGAAGCTTCTGACAGAGCTCAAGAGCAGAACAGAGAGGCAGAGAAGCAGAAGAGTGAAATAAATAAAGGGGGATGACGAAGAAGAATTCTTCCCAAAGTAAAGTGCGCATATAAAGTGAGAAAAAGCATAGTGCTCAGGAAAAAAAAAAAAAGGTGAGAAAAAGCATGAAAATAAAAACAATAAATTAAAAAAAATGATGCGATGGATGGGAGAAACCATGGAAAAAAAAACCGGACCGGACCGGCCGGTTCAACCGGTGAACCGGTGAACCGGCCTGTTGTCTGGTCCGGAATAAGCCAAGAACCGGCCAGGGGTTAAACCGGTGGTGAACCGGTTGAGCCGGTATGAACCGGTGTAAAACCGGGTAAACCGCCGGTTTAGGTGATTCAGCCGATTTAGATCATTTCCCCCTCCAAAGACCCAAAATGACGGCGTTTTATTTAAAAAAAAAAAATCGAACCCAGACCAGCTCGACCTCGACCGCTCAACCCGTCTCCTTCGGTCCTTCCTCATTCGGTCTCCAAAACGGCAAAACCATCTCGGCAGCTCCGTCCTCCTCAGTCCCAGCCGCCGTCGCCGTGTGCGCACTGCTCAGTGAACCTTGCCGCCGTCGCCGTGTGCTCGCTGTCCCGTCTCGGTACCAGCTCGCTGAATCTCGCCGCCGTCGCCTCACTGAATCTCCCAGCTCAGCTCACTGAAGCTTGCACCGTCGCCGCGTCTTCCCCTGCCTCGCCTGAAGCTGGTCGGTGCCCTGCCTGAAGCTGCTCGTCCGGCCGTCGCCTCGCCTGAAGCTGCTCGTCCAGACTCCCAATTTCGTTTGACTCGGTTTGAGCTCTCCATCTCTGTCTCTCTGATCTCTCGGCCACTCTTATTTTCGTTTGAACTTGGATTGAGGGTGATAATCTATTAAATTTCTGGTTTGATTTTTCGTTTGAGTTTGGATTCTCTGCCTGTCTGTCATTTTTTATTTTTCCGTGCTGCTTCGTATGGAGTTGTGGTGTTAGATTGCTAGACTATCTGGAAATAATAGATTGAATTTAGTCAATTTACCATAGTAGCATATTAGTACTGCGAGTTGTGGGTTTATATTAATCATATGGAGTTGTGGTGTTATGTTCTTTGTGTCATTACCAATTAAATTATATTATTTTAATATGACCGGTTTGACCCCGGTCTGACCCCGGTCTGACCCATTGACCCTTAACCCACTAGCTAGACCGGTTAAGTATCCGGTCCGGTTTTTTATTCATTGGGAGAAACAAGAGCCTACATAACGCCCTCTTCCATTATTTTTTACAGCCGAGTATGGAAGTACAATACTACCCCTCAATTTCTCATATGTGAAAGGAGGAAGGCCATATGGGGCCCACAAGTTCGCATGTAGTTCAATGTCAATGAGGCACAGCATGAAGTTGCTGGTTTTCACAGGGATTCTAGCAAAAGCGCAGTTTGTTGTTACCTGGGTCGAGGACAAGTTACTCAAATAATTACTACTGCTTTGGGAGGGGAAAAAAAAGGGACACTTTTTTTTTATTACTTTTGCCTTATAATAACATCATGTTCTTATATTTTATATTAATAAATAATAATTTGTAGTATTTATAAATTTATAAAACATACAAAAATGGAATCAGTATTTATGTTACAAAGAAGGGAAGAAAGAAAACAGGGGAGTCTTTATGATGGAATTGGAGGGTGAAGGTACACACCTGTACCATGAAGCCTCCAAAATAGAGGGAACGGAAGGGAGACAAGTGAAAGGATATATGGCCCACACAAAAAAGATTTAGATGTTTCTAAATCATATATAAAAATTAAAGCAAAAATTTCAATCTTCACAAGTGGACAATGGGGTGAATAGGTCAGCCCCTACTAGGCGACCTGGTGGCTAGTTAAATATACTAGCTCAAACATATGTTTTTTTTTATTTGGACAATTTAATCCTCCTTCTCCTAAGAAACGGCATCCACGCACCCATTAAAAAACTTAACCCTTATTTTTTGTCATTTGGGTTCTAAAACCCATAAGAAAAAAGGTACAGGGTGTCATTTGGGACAAAACTCTTAGCAACTAAGCTCAAATTTTTTTTCTTCAAAATATTAAGCTTCTATTTGGAATCATAGTGGAAATTTCTTATAAACACGTTTCACATAAACCGAAACAAAATTTCTGTCACATATTTACCTTGTATTCACTAAATCATTATTGAAAAGCTATTTATAAATTACTTATAAACTGTTCCAAACGGGTCCTCGTATGCATAAAAAAGTTGGCCTATTTTTAAAAGACTTGTACAGCCATGACCCAAATAGTTTTTCACTTGCACATGAAAAGAAAGAAAGTTTAATTGAGTCAAATATACTGTAACTTCGTTGCATGAATACTCTCTCATAAGTAGGAAGTTATAGGTTTTGTCTTTTTTGTATGTGCAATTAAATAAGAATAAAGATGAGTGAAACATCTTAATTACCACCACCAAGAAATTATTATAAAATCTTGTCTATTAAGTATTTGAATTTCATTACTGGTTTTGGTTCCGGTGGATTCTTCAATATCAAATGTAGGGAGTGAACGAGGAATAGGCATGAGCTCTTTAAGTGTCTCCATGTTATAGAATGAAAGATGAATTATTTCTCTAAATGTGCTAATATCCTGTCAAGAATTCTTTTATTATCATGCAGGAGCCATATACCACTATGTTCCTTATTATGAGTCATTTGTATTCCAAACCCGCAAACCAAGAAATACATTAAATTAACCAGTTTTTTTTTTCACATTTACCCTTATTAAATAAAGATATTTAAAAATGCATGAAAGAGTCTTATATATTCGAACGGACTGCATAGGAAATAAAAAGTTGAGAGAGAGAGAGAAAGGGGGGATAAACTGCATAGGAAATGAAAAGTTGAGAGAGAGAGATAGAGAGGAAGAGGGAGAGGGACGTGTTTAGAGGAGCTATTGCTTCAGACTTAAATTAATTAATTTTTTATTAAATTAAAAGTGTAAAATTAGATAAAGATCATTAAATATACTACATGTGATTTATATTTTGAAACAAACTTTTAAGATACAAGTGACTTGTAATAAAAAATAGAGTGGTATTGAAGATTTAATTTAATGTGATGGGTGTGTCAAATATGAAATAATGATTTTCTTTGGTAAAAAAAAATGATTATCTGAATTAACTATTATTTACTACAGCAGAGGAAGATTCAGAAAAAATTTCATTAGAAATTTTATTGGTGAAAAGAACTTAACCAAAGTATCAATACATTAATACATTGTGTGTACAAAGTAGGTAGAATATTAATATTTTTTTGCATATAAAAATTTAGCAAATTCCAATGCAGATGTTTGTAGGCATTATTTTTAATTTGGCATGTTTCACTTTTGCCTCATTTCCAATGCAAATGTTTCCCCCAGCCTACAACGCTGCACATTTGATATTTTCAAAAGTGACCTGTTGTTACAATACTATTATACTGGTACCATAGTATCAATAATCTTCAATTTTTTTATTTTTTTAATCTAACAAAGTATTATGAATGATGCACTATATAATTAATTTTAAATCAATAAAAGTATATTTAAAATTTTTTAATTTAAAAAATGTTGCCTGATATTTTTGACATTTTGCAATATACTTTTTGACTTTCGTCAAAATATTTTTTTATATGATATTCTAAAAAGTAAAATGGTGAAATTTTCTATCAATTAATTGAAAATGTGATATCTCCTCAAGCAATTCCATTCCCAAGTGAAATTATATATCATCCAAAGGTGGCTTTGTAAAGGGGGGCAAAAGGCAAATTTACAAAGGAAGGCATTTTTTTTTTGGTAAACTCAACGAAACATAAACTGTTTTTTTTAATAGAGAAACATAAACTTTAAAATTTGTATCCAAAACATGATGAACTATTATTATTTCAATTTAGAAAACAAGGAAGAAGTAATTTTTAGTTGATGTGATTGGATTATAGAGGAAGATTGGAAAGGGAGTAAATAGGCATTAAATGCATAAGCAGCGGCATTGGTGGAACGAAAAATGTAAAACCAATGACATGGTGATGGTCGGTTCTGTCGTTCTCCTGTAAGGAAGGGGCAAGGAATAAGTGCTGACCAAGCAGCCAGACGGTTGGCTGCTTTTTCAACACTGTGGACCAATGGCAACATCGTAAATTAAGTTAATATAGCACCTATTTTCAAGTTATTAGGATTAGGCCCCAGGCCACCCAAAAAAAACCCAAATAACTTAATTAAAATCTTGGACTGAAATCTCCTTCAAGTTTTTTTTTTTTGGAACCGGAATCTCCTTCAAGTTCTTAATCTTATTATAAGGAGTATTAACTAATTTTGTATAAATTAAAAAAAAATTTTAAAATATCACTTATAAAATATAAGAAATTACCTCATATTCTTAATATAAGCACTAGTTTAATTTTCAATTTAATCCTAAATATAGTATTCCAATTTATTTTGTTTCCTATGTTTATCTATTTTTTTCAAAATAATCCTTATAGTAGTTGTCTATGTTAAATATTTTATCAAATGATAATTTTAATTAATATACTTAATTAGTAAAAATATTTTAAAAAAAATAACACCTATTTATTACACATAACTAATTTTTTTAATCTGCTCAAATTAGTCAACTAGATCTTATATTAAAAAATGGAGGTAGTATTAAATCACATTTCTAAAAAGCGCCATTAATAACTTCATAAAAAATCCGCAGTAGCTTAATTTAATAATCTTTATAAGAAATTTTAATTTTTAAAGCCCTTAACTGTCATTAATTTAAATTATAAACCCTTACCTGTCATTTTCCCAAGTTTGTCTTTATCTTTTAACATAAAAGGAGGATTCACCTAACTCTGAAGGAACTGGGGGGAAAAAGGCGATGGGGTGATAAAGAAGATGAAATCTAGTTAAGTAGCACAAGTTGAAACCCCTTACGAAGACATTCTTTGAATAAACAAGTTGGATGTGGTGGTCAAAAATTCGCTAACAGCTTGACAAATAAATCATTCAAATCTATCATTCCATGTCCTCTTTGTCAGGTCCAATATACATGGTGCAACAAAAAGAAAAAACAATAAGAAAACATCCCACAAGCTGCCCAAAAGATGCAGCCACTTTTGACAAGGCCAGAATCCTCCATACTTGGGATAATGCTGCCTGGAACACAAAAATGCAGGAATGCATCAGCAATTGGGACATGTTCTCTAGTTCCAATCATCAGCGATTCAAGTACATAATGGCTAGATAGAAGAAAATAGCCAATGAGAACGAGATGATCTCATAACAAGTGAGTATTATACACAGGAGCACACAATTTTGAAAAAAAAAAGGGGGGGTGTTAGGAAAGAGGCTTGCAGCAAATTCTGTTGTATATGCAGGGGAAAAAAATGTAAGAAGACCTTTTGCATATGCATCTGATCATATACATGGAAGAGAGAGCTCAGCTCAATCTATAGTTATAGGCAAAGTATCCTCATATATCCTAACAATAGTGATTTTTCTAGCAGCTGTTTCTTTCTACCCACTCCAGCTGCTAGGTATTTGGGATGCAAGTTCTTTGATATTTTGGTTTAGGAATAAGCAAACGAGGGCAAGGATCTTTCACAAGCCTGTGATACATACCATGTTAATTGGCGTGGGTGATCAAGGGGGAGAGGCATGCCATGATTTTCATCTCAAAATAAGGTTCTAAATTCTATAGTACTACCTATCTTATATTTAGGACCGGAGGCACTAATTAGATTCTCCGGATAAAAGGGAAGGGAACTTGGCTGTTAACCTTAATGACCAAAGAAATTAACAGAATGAACAATAATTTTAATAAGAAGGATACCTCCAAGTACAAAACATTGGCAGCTTTACAAGTCCTCTCAAGTTGCAGTCCACGTGCTAACATGACCTGCAGTGAATAGTGGCATTCAGTAATGAAGATTTATTTGAATTTTGTAATCGTAACACTAGTTTTTAGTTTTTCGAGAGAATCAGAAATACAAAAACACAGCACAAGGCATCCTCCAACAAAAGCAGAAGGACAAGTAAAATCAGGCATAACATATTCGTAAAACTCATGTAAATGCCTTATTTCAACTACAACATAGCACAAGCAATAACTCTGCTAACTGCCTATGGTACAATGCAAAAAATAATTAAAAAATAATATCAAAGTAGTTTAGAACAGCACCTCAGCAAAGAAGGCCAGAACACCAAGTACAAGCATAAGTAAAATTGATGGAAATCCTGGAAGCACAAAATCCTGCAAAAAGGGAACAAGTTTTTGCTCTTGTGAGAACTAATGAGATTCTCCTCACTTAGCATCCAGGAGAATAGATAGTGTGTGGACGATAACTGGCTAAGACGACTGCGTCTAAAGCATCTAAGTCAGGACAAAAGTAATCAAAAAGCTAGTTACAAAGGAACTTCCTTTTTTCCTCACTTAAACTTGGAAGATGTTGCCACCACAGAAAGATGCTTGCATTTGCAAATGCAATAAGGACCTCTTGAATCATGGTCCTATTACTTTAGTGACAAAGGTGCATAAAGATCTGTTGAATGTTGATCAAGAAAATGGGGGCGAAGTAAAATTTTAGCGAAAACCACTGGCTAATCATTGTCCTTTTATGTTCCAGGAGATATCTCCTCCTATTTATCTTCGTCAATAAGGAAAAAGATAATAATTAATAAAAATGTGATGAATTTCTATCACCTTTGACAATTATCCAAAATTTTTGACCAAGGATTGATAAGATCCATATACAGATCGATGCCAATAGGAGCGCAGAAGCAGCCGTAGAAGACTTTTGCAATTAAGGACTATGAAGAAGTAAAAAGTACTGCAAATAGAGAGGCAAGATTGAGAAAGGCAAGCACAAGAATGAAGCTGTATGATGTAATATGCCTCTTCAGTTCAAACATAGGATCGTTGGTTTTCTTATCGGCAAAAAACATTTGATATTTCATATTTGGGATGGGGGAAAACAATGAAGAAATGCAGAAGTGCCAAAATGAAGATAAGGCAGCCATCTTAGCAGGAAAATTGATTTGGGTTACAGGAAAACAGAATCTCAAGATTTCACTGGAACCAGACAAATAAAATTTTGATCCTCCACTTTTCTCTTGTGTATTTTAAACTCAGCAGTCACCACCCAGGAAATTTATCGAGTGAAAATCGTCACTATCGCTAATTTTCTCGATGAATGTATGTCTCAATAATTCACAGAATGCATAGTTAATTTACCTCAAAAATAAACATACATATCCCTGTCACAGGGCTAGCCAACAAGCCAAATGAAAAGATGGTTAACCTGTAATAAAGAAGATTGAACACATGTTAGAGTAGAGATACATAAACTCTCTGAAATACACTGTACCAGAAACACGTGTTAGTTATTAGCCATAGCTCTCCTAACCTAACTTCATAGAACATTAGGGTCACAGGACTCTGGAGTAGATATACTGAACAACTGCTTTACAGCTAGTAGTACTTGTACCTTGTGCATCCTAAAAGATACTAACGGCATCTAAATCGTTAACTCATGCAATCTAAGAAGCACCAATATAGGCAGGCATATCAGATAAAACATTATAAGTGGGAGACGAATTTTTAAAGTTTTAGAATACAAATACACAGCAAACAGAACGGCAAGAAGGATAAGAACAACAACAACAAATCAACTCATTAAAGATCACATTGAGTCTTAAATAGGCTATTATAGCATAAATGATAAAAACAAATTAGTACTACAGTTTTCAATTCAAATTAATCTTTATCTCTGTCCACAATGGAAGATTAAAACTTACAATGAAGCAGCTGTGATTTATTTCATCAAAGCAAGAATTGAGGACCAAGAAATTGAAGCAAACAGACAGAACTTTGGAGCTTGAAATTCAAAAGATTCAGCAAGCTTCACTCCCATATGAAGATGAAGAAAGGCTCATAATATTGAAGCAAACTTCGTTTGCTCACACTAACAGACCAAATGAATAAGATAAAGAAAAAGGAAGACACAAGCTTCACTCAAACTTGCAGATGCAGACGCAAGAGAATAGCCTCAGAGAGACAAAGTCTCACAGAAGAAAGGTAAGGATTTCCCCCAAAAAGAAGGAAGAAAACGAATCAAGACGATGCTACAAATGGTTTGACGCATATACCATTGTATCATACGCATATTTGCCCTGGATATGTATCTAGTACAGGCACAACACCTTTTTCAGCATATCCATGCTTCCTAGAATGCATATTAAACCGAAAGATTCTAACAATTGGCAGGCTCAGAAAGTTTCTCTTAGTTTCAATAACCAGAAGCACAAAAACTAGCATGAAGAATGAAGCATAACATAATATTTATAAGTTTCATCTTTAAAGCAAGTCCGATTAATATCAGGAAACAACTATAGAAACTTACAGAGGTTCATTGGATGCTTTTGCTCCAGCCCTTATAAGGCAGTAGGAGATCCCACCAGTTATTGCCGAAAAGAGACCAAGTAAGATGGCAAATATATGACTGGTTCTATTAGAATTTGCATTGTTTCCTTCCTCAGCTTTAATTAAATGCCCTGGAAATTCCAAATACAAAAATTAGAGAAGGTCCCAGTATATTTAACATTCTAGCTGAAACTATCAGATGCAGGCTAGGCTATAAAGGTCAAATTTATCAACAAGAATTTGGCAAAAAAAAGAAAAGAAAGCTTATCAACAAGAAACAAAATAACACGGGCATGTTACTTTCCCCTCCCCTGAAAGATAGCTCAACTACATAACTCTTCTTGCCATTATGAAGATCCACACTGAGGTCCTCTGAACTCAAAAGAGACAATCTACATAATCATTTTTCAGATTTAGCAAAATTTCCAGCGTTTTATTAAAAAAAAAAGAAGCTTTTAATGCTTAATAGTTTGCATGAGGGTGTTTTGGTCAAAATCGATCTTGTTGTAGGATCTTTTCCTTTTAGGATGTGGTGGGGCAGATTTTCACAATAGAAGAAAGAACCATGTAACTAAATCATCTCTCAAGGAAGGGGATATAGTACTTAACCCATATAAGAGACTAAAGAGAACATTTTTTTCGGGTACTAAGGAGAACTACGCAAAATTAGAGGATAGTGTATTCCCCAAGTCTATCAAATGCCGATTCTTTTTTCAGGAAGGCCATACCTCACTTTCACAATAAACAAGATCGGTAATATGAAGAAACAAAGCATTTAAAAGAGATCACAATCAATAAATCCAAGTTTCTTTAGTCAACCAATCAATAAAGTCAAACTTGCCCAGGTGAATTCTTAATTCTAAACCATGTAAACTTTGTATAGCTTGCAGATAACAAAGGTATTTACAAAATTATGAATATATTGCTGCAAAAAAAAAAAAAAAAATTGTTGCAACGAAAACTACTCTACCTTGTACTGCAAGCATTTCTTGGAAAGTGAAGAGCACACCAAAGAAACTGCAAGCAAGACCTGCCATGTAATATACATTCCATTGCATTACCAAACATTATTATCTACGGTGGTAAATGCGGAGATAAGTGTTTATAATTATTCTATCAATTTTTTTTATAACTTGGGATTCAAGCTTTTACAATTTGAATACAGGGGTTTAATTACTGAGATTCAAGTCTTTAGGGTTTAGTTATTTGTATCTCTAAAGATCCCATTACTTGTTAGAGATTGGAATTTGAAATAACATTTGATTCTGATTTGGGTTTCTGGTAAAAGTTCAATTTTCCCCCTTTTTTCCTCATCACCCAAACCGGGAACCCAAAAAAAAAAAAAACCCGGCCCAAAAGAGAGCTGTAAAGGCCAATAGGTGTTTCTGTTCTGTCAGTGAAATGTTCAATAATATTTTTTATGTTTTCAGGTTTACGTTGTTTTCGTTTTCCTATTCCACATCAACAGTCAAGCCAGACTGTCTAAATTATCCAAACTGAGAGAACATCAAATTAAAGTCCTTACTGTGGGTGAAATTTTTTTTTTTTTGGGGGGGGGGGGTGTGCTGTTTGATAACATCACTCACATAACAGAAATGTGGAGCCAAACACGCATGAAAATGTTAAATGAATATAGATGGATTGAAAAAAAGAAACCAACTTTAAGAGAGGAAGTGAAAACCCTCAAAGTTTAGGTTTTACAGTTTAAATAAGAAAGCTAAAATTCCAAAAAAAAAAAAAAAAAGCAGCAAGCAAACAAACAAGTTTGAAGATTATGATTACAACCAGTCAAAAACAATAAAGGGGCAAAATCATGTACAGAAGCAAGACAACCGTTCATCAAATGACAACTAAAGAAAGGAGATGGTTATTCTGCATAATAATTTTACACTCCACCTAAAGCGAACCAAAAAATGGTACAGTCGAGCAATAATATCTAGACAGACTTCCACTAACAAATAGGGGGTCGGTTTCACACAGAAATTCATGTCTTTCAAATCATTGCAAACTTCAACGGGAATATACAATGTCAAGTAGTTTAAGAACAGAAAAATGAAACCTTACCCGCCATTTCAGCAATTGTCAGCTTCTCATGCCAAAAGACCCTTGCCATTATTGAAGTCAACACTGGAGTTGTTAAATTTAATACAACAGCCTGAGAGAAAGGCAACCTTTGAATGCTGAAGAATAACACATATTCTTGTTATTACAATAGGTTATATCCAATGCAGTTCTCAGGGAGCAAATGCCCACAAGTAATAAGTAGTAACAAATTTTCCAAGATCAGTCTAGCAGAAACTCAAATATGCTACGGAACAAAAGAGTTATATAGTGAATAAAGAGAATCACACTTAAAACCCATTTATTGAGTAGGAAAGTGTTGCTCATATCAAATTAATAACAAACTGTCATCTGGGACTTAAGTGTTAGGGTTAATTTGGGAATTAGGATAATGAGCAGGAAACATATTTGTCCTAAATTGCTATTAATATAAATAAGGGAGAATATAAACACTTTTGGTTGTGAATGAATTAGTATTTTCGCCATTTGGGCTTTTGCTGTGTCTCAGAAATAGTGGGCATTGGTTAAAACATGTTTTATGTTACATATTGATTGCATGCTGATGCATTACAAATCCCTCTTTGGAAACTTTCTACGATATTGTACAGAAAACTATTGTAATAATTGTTTAATCCAGATTTAACTAACAAGCGTTGCCTGAATGAGTATATATGGTTATAAGAGTCATATAAAACTTACCAATATACAAAACTTGACAAAGACATATAACCAATAAGGGCCCTTGAAAACAAAATGGTTCTAACTTGGGATGTTCCAAAAAGTGGCTGTTCACTCCTCCTCAACCACAAATATGACAGTATCAAGATAATTGTACATCTTGTAAAAGCAGTCTCAAACAAAGGTATAGCCTGAACTGTCAAATCAAAATTATTATCGCAACGATTAAGAAGAGGAGCAAATAACAAAAATGAAAAAGATCAAGAATAATTTTTAAGAATAACAACATGAGAGTGCTTATTATTTCTTTCACCAGCTCAAAATAATAAAATATAAATTACCTGTTAAAGAGAGGGGAGAGGACAAACATTCTGGAAAGTGCTTATTATTCCAATATGACAGTGCTTATTATACTTGTTAGAACTGGTTTTTTTTTTTTTGGGGGGGGTGTTGTGGGGTTGGTGTACAAACAAATCGAAAGCTTTGTTCCTCAGAAAGACTCTAAATGAATTGGCCCTGTGTTTGAGAATTAAATCAATCAATGCCAGCAGTGTGGCTCACAATAAAATTGGCTTCAAATATTGGGCATATCTATGAGAATGAGACCGACTTCCAAAGTGAACAAAGAACTAAGGAGGAAATAATGAAGAAATAAGTCTGCGTTCGTTCCTTTTTCCCCTCTAAAACCATATTGATAAAAGTCAAACAAACATAGTAATTGTAACTTCCATTGCAATCAAAACCTCTTGTCATTTGCATTCAAATTCAAGGATGTTTCCTTCTAGTGATTTCGGTCATTATGTGAGTGCTGAGCAAAAAAACAGACCAGGGCGGAACATACCAGAAAAAATATTGGAAAGAACTTCCATGAGAAAGTAGATGGTAGATGTAAGGGTCATGCAAAGTAATCCAGAGTATCTGGATCCACTCCATACCCACAATATGAATTGAGTCATAGACGAAGTCTCTGACTCAAGTGACCTTGTTACTTCATCCTGAAACCAAAGCCCACATATATGTTACATATTGGGTCTAGAGCATCATTTTCCAATCAGTCAAATTTCTATCTTGAAAAAAATTATTTTTTGGAAAAACATAAAGAATATTTTGAAATTTTCTCTAATGTCTAAAAAGAATAATCTCCAATCAACATCATTTTTATTGTCTTCAATTGGTTTCATTAAAAGACAAACTAAATTTGACTATTGTGCTTTCCCGAGCACCGTTCACCGCCGAAAACTTTGGGTTCCAATTGATGAAAGCCAAATGTCAATTAATTCACGGCAGTTCTTCTAGAAGTTGGATATGTGCGATCCACATTCTAAAAGCACAGCTTCCCCACCCTTATTAAGCAATGGAGCTTTAACAAATCATCCTATAAAGCACAAGTCATTAGCTAGTTTCAAAAGCTTCTCCGTATCACCACTCTTCAAAGCAATGAGTTCGCTCGTTTTTCAGCAAAATGACGAAAGACCCCAAAACAGTTAAAACAATGGCAAAAGCACAAAACACCCCTCCAACGAAAACTTCGTTTCAGATATACATACATAACAAATTCTCTAAAAGAGGTTAGAAAATATAAAAATCCACACGGCCGAACCTGAAAGCCAGTGACTTGCAAAAAAACAAAATAAATCGCACAATGAGGAAAAATTACCCTGGGTTTTCTCCTGGGATAAGAAGCTGTGAAGATGTTGATCTTAGGCACTTCGGCCTGGATAAGCAGAGGGGTTGTCTGCTCTGAAACCGCTTCAGCATCGCCTGGCGATGCTGATGGATCGCGCTCCATAAGCTCTACAACGTGATCTACATGGTTAGACTCCGCGGAAGCCATGGCCGTCTGTACACTCAGAGGCCCTCTACCCCTTCTTCACAGTTTGGATCCAGGAATTCGAAAGACGAAGACAATGTTAAAGACGACTACTGCGTCAGCCTTCGCTGGTAGAAAGTGACGATCAAACGGTCGGGCCAGACTTTTTTCAGCAGAGTGTGTCCTGTTCCGTGAAAATTACATCTACGAACTTCTAAAAAATATGGCGCTTATAATTTCTTTTTCATTTTTGCTTGCCAACAAATTTCTTTTTCATCTTTTATAATTCGTGCTGCTCTTTTTATTCTAAATATAAAATTTTTTTTATAGTACAATTTATACTATAAAAAGAGTCATATATTTAAGACTCGAGGAATATCATTTTTCTGACGAATTTTGTATCAGTTTTTTTTATTACTAATGTGTCATTTTCATGCTTCGAAACGTTATTGAATATGTTATTTCATGTTTTGTCTTTTAATAATGCACTCATTAATTATCAAAAAATATTTATTTAAAATATACTGGAGACATTTTAGGAAAATACCTCTTTTTTGGCCGGCTTTAGGAAAATACTATATTAATTTTACAAAAACTTAAATTTTTTTAATAATTTTCTAAGTTCATGTGAAAAATATTTTTCATACTAATGTCAACTTATAATTTAAAAAAATAAAATAAAAGATCAAGTTACACCAGGCGAAGTAGCAAAGTGTTCAACTTGAGTGAGTGAGAAATGAGAAAACAAAATATAAGCTCCGCAAACACAAAAAGCATAAAAGAAAAGGACACAGAGTTAATTTAAGGAAAAATCATATCATAGGTACCTCTACTTTTTCTTAATTTTTAATTTGGTATCTATATATTTTTTTCTCTTAATTAAACATTTAATTTTATTTTTTTTAGCAACATTAGCTCTTATAATTTTGTTCTATTGGCATTTTTAGTTTTTACATAAGGATTAATGATGTTAATTGAGCAAAATTAAAGATTTAGTTAAGAACAAAAAAACACATAGGTACCAAATTAAAAATTAAAAAAAAATACAGGTACCTCCAATATGGTTTTCCCTTAATTTAATAATTTGGGATTCTTTCACCGAATTATTAACAACTTTCATACAAAGTAATTAAACTATAATCACATTACAAAACTCAAAAATTGGTGAGATTGCACCGAATGCATACAATTTTGGATGAGAAATAGATGAAGGCTGCGGTATTTACATGATATTATTATACTACTACCTCTAGCCATTAATATAAGAGTCAGTTAACTAATTTAAATAAATTAAAAAAATTAGTTAAATTAGTTATTTGTAATAAATAAATGTTATCTTTCCTAAAATATCCTTACTATTCAAGTATATTGATTAAAAGTATTATTATTACAAAGACTATCTTAAGAAAAAAAATGATAAATGTGAGAGATAACATGGATCGAAATTTTATATTTACGACCAAAATAAAAATCAAATAAAGTCTTATAATTAACATCATAGTATATCAAAACGACGTTTCCCTTTTTTTTTTCTTTTTTTTTCAATAGTCAAATCAAACACGGCCCATTGAATGGGGCGAAGACCTTCTTTCTCTTTTTACACTTTTGTCTTCTCCTTTCATGAAAGCTATTTTCCTTTCGTCATAGATTACTTCTCCCCCTTCTTTTAAGATCCCAACAATTACCTCTTTGTCTCCAGTCAAAAAAAAAAAAAACAATTGCCTCTTTGAATTTACAACAGACTTTGACTGCGACGGATCTTCTGTAGAGAACCTAATCATCAAAGAAGATTGGTAGGTGGGTTTACTCTCTCACCAGACCTTCATGTTTCAATCTCCCCTATTTTTCCTTTTTCTTAATGATGGCCATGGGATTTTCTTTGTCATAATTCACAGACTCGTTATACTCTCCAACTAGAAACCTCACACTTAAAAAGGTTTTAAAAGAGGTGTTGGTATATCAGTTTTGTTGATAGTCAAATGAGAATTTCTTATTTATAAGTTTGAACACGGACCAATGTGTTATATATGTATTATTATTCATGTTCTTTTTTTTTAAAAAAAATAAAAGGTCAATTTTGTTATAAGTAAAACGATTATATCAAAAAGCTCAAGGAAGGTAGATAACTACTATTACTTGGGCTTAGCCTATATCCAACACAACAGCAGTAAAACAGAGAGAAATAAGAAGCACTGGATGTAAAATATGCTCCAGACCCACTTCCCTTGTTGTCAGCAGACCAAAGTCGCCGTGTAGTGTTACCTTTGTCCTCCGGGCATACATGCAGTGTCCCTTTTCACATAATCTATTTTCCCGTTCTCATCCGTAGCCTCATAGGTTCTTTTTAGTAGGAAATATTGAAAATAAGAGGTGAAGACCGAGATTAGAATAAATAAAAAAATTATTAAAAAAATATTTAACATAAGTAATTGCTTGCTGCTCAGATTGAATAAACTCGTACAGATAAGACTGAAAAATACCATGAAGAAAAATATTATTCTTTAATCCTACCTATATGAATTTATCCCAATAGCAAGTAATTCTTAGTACTAAATACTCTCTTAATATGTTTTTTCGATCACAATTCCAATCTTTTTCAATAATTCTCAATGTTTCATGTCAAATAGGATGATAATGTCTCTGTAATTTAATGCGCCTAGAGCTCACATCATTATAATCGCCAGAAGACTTTTCGCTTTCGCGTCATGTTAGGTTGGTTCTGAGACCCGTCCAATTTGCATGCAAAGGCCCACTTGTCATTAACATCGAAGATGGTCGAACTCCAAAACCGATGAGAAATTCGATACCAACCAACATGATTGACATTCCAAACTCTAATCGATCTACCCAAGAATCTCATATTAGCATTTAAAGACAAGGAAGGACCAGACTGGAAAGTGTTGAACTTGCACCGACATGGGGATGAAAGGTTTCAGCCGAGACAAGAAAGCACAAACGGTGGAGTGAATCTAACATGTTGAAAACCGGCAAACCTGTGCCAGTGCCACATGACCAATGCATCCACATCTTCAGCATACACGAACAATGCGTTCTAGGTTCTAACATCATCTCCATCTCTACCAAAAGTCCCATCTGCCAAGCGAAATCTATGGACTATGGGCACTGGCTGTCGGGTTGATATCAACACCTGGAAACGAAGACCTTCTCACTTGTGACTGGATTGAAAATCAAACTGCAAGAAAGTTCCCATTGCCCCGAAGCATGCACAATTATAATAATGTATAACGATAATGATCACTATCTCTTTTCTAAATGAGATATGCTTTTCTATAATAGATCCTCAACTTGTATGTGCCCACTATCCTCACTGTCAGATGTTGGTGGTTCTGATATATTTCAACAGTTTTTAGATGGAAAAGGAAACATATCAGAGAAGCAACAATCACAATGTTGTATGGTAGAAACAAGTTATTTGCCTTTTATTTTTGTTGACCAAACATAATAGACACGAGTTCAAGGAACAGAGCATCATTCCTACCATGAGGGCATATGTTTATACAAGGGAATTGCGGGAGACTGGGAATATACAGTGACTCGGGGAAGAGCCTGCTAAGGTTACAGATGTCAAAAAAGATCTTTTTATCTTCTCTTTTTTATCAACAAATCGGATTTTATATGGCTTGGTTCAAGCTCTCGGGTTAAGGGACCGTTCAATTTCTTCTAGAGAACGCCCTTTAGTTTCTACTACGAAGTAACTGGCAAATGCTGCAGCTAACAGGGAAACTGCTCCAAAGCCTGCATATACTGGTGCAACTCCGAATTTCTCCACCAAATCAAGAAAGAATAGTCCCACCACGAAATTGCAAACCTGGAGGTATTTATTAGCATGCAAGTTTAAATTCACCGTACTTGGATCCTCAATTGAGAGATCTTGTAAATTATTCGATTAAGCAATCGGAGCCATTCAGATTTGGTTGGCCAGTTGTGAAATTTACAAGATCCTTCAATTGAGAGAACCAAGTTCATGAGATAAAAAGCGCACATTACTATGAGCTAACACCCACCCAATGGGTTGAAAAACTGAACCCCATGATCTTTCCACGTGTCCTGGTGCTGCTAAGCTCCGGGATAATAATACCAGTTACTGGTCCAGCTCCAATTGCAAAGGAGAAAATGTACCTATCATTGTATATAAGAAAAATGCATCATACATGTGCCAACATTTCAGAAAAAATCGAAGACAAGATAACATCCCAGATCATCTTTCTTTGTGTGTGCGTCTGACATTTTATTCATCTCAGAATATCTGTATACCATCCTCTATGGACACAAGCATTAGGCCAACAGATGAAAAATAATCATTCTGATAAAATTACTATCTCACAACAAACAGTAAGTTATTCAACTCCACATGATATAAGGACGGATGAAGGATCTCGTGTACAGTCCTTAGCTGCACCTCATGTCCATCTGTTTTTTTTTCCCCTCAATTGAAAACCGAAAAAATAGTAATACAATAAATTCGTTGGACTTATGCGGTCATGCAATAGAGCAATTTTTCTCTTTTCCCTCTCGCATCTTTTTTTTTTTTTTTTACGCAATGCTACAGTGTTTCTTATTCCCCCCTGATTATGACAAATAATCTTTTCACTGCACTTTTATGAGCATCAAGTGATTGCTTACATGACAGTTCCTAGTATAGGTAAGTTTTTGCTGAGTTGTTCATCTAACGGAAAGTCAACAGCATAGACCACAAGAAACATTGAGATTGCCTGCAGGAAACAAAGTCTTGACTAGTTAGGCAAGTAATAACACCTAAATCAGTCGAAATAAAAAAAAAAAAAAATTCTTGTATCTTCCTGAAACTGCAGCCAGTGTCAAGATGTTTCAAACATCAGGAAAGGAGAGAAAGTAGGGCAGAGAAAAAACTTTACAAAGATATAGCGTTAATCCAATTCCTTGAATTCCATGAGTGTATGCGTGGATACACATATTTGTTCACATGAGATTTCATAGACAAAAGTTATTAACATTTTATTAATACTCACCATTCCTATGTAGCTTCCAATTAGAAGTTTCAGTCTCCCTTGTCTATCAATTAAGTATAAAGAACAAAGTGCGCCTGGAAATAAATAAAAAGAAAAAGTTCCCAAAAATCG